TTTATCTTTCAAATATTCTTTAGAACTTAAAAGCTTATCTTTTAATTCTACACTACTTTTAAACTAGAAGAATCGGCTTCTTCACCTAGTTCCTTCAACACCGAAATCAAATCACTTTTAACTACTCCTTTAAACATATTTAGAAGAAATTTTCCTTAAAGTTTACAACAAAAATTTCTCACCTTTTCTCCAAAATCCAGTCATCGGCTTCGTTAGCTCTGGTTCTCGTAAAGAGAGCGTGCTGTAATGACCTTGTGGATTAATAAGGCACCATGAGGAAAACGACACCAACATTTATTAAAAATGAACTTTCAAAGAATAATGAAAAAAATTAACATTTAAAGAATAAAGGCAAACTCGGAGCACTACCTCGCTCCTACAACATAATTAACCTACAACCTGCCTCCTCTGAGGCTAACATGCCACTGGCCTCTCTCACTTGCTGGGCGCTGCCAGGCAGCTGATTGGCTCACCGCTGCCAGATACATGACACCATCCAACTTGTCATTATCGTTCCTAAAATTTTTCTGTTGACGTGCTCTACCATACCATTGGCTTGGGGCTGTTTGATAAAATTCAAAGTATGATGTATTCCGTTATCTGTACAATACTGCTTAAATTGGTGAGAAGTAAAACACGATCCTCTGTCACGTATTATTCCTCCGGTAGTCCAAAATCATTAACAAAATTCTTCAAAAGACTGTAAAACATTTTTAGCACTAGTATTCTTAACTGCAAAAATTCTCACGAACCTAGACATGTTATCAATTATCACTAATAGTTCTGGATTACCTCTCGAACTCTTTACGAAAGGACCCAAGTGATCCATGTGAATAATAGCAAACGGTCTTATACCAGGTTTTATGGGATGTAACAGTCCTTGTTGCTTGCCACCTGTCGCTTTATTCATAAGGCACTCAATACATGCTGATATGTGTCTTCGTATGTATCGTTTCATGTTTGGGAACCAATATAATTCTTTAATTTTGCTAACTGTTCTATCCACAGAAATGTGACCAAATAAATCATGGAATTTCACCACTACACTCTTCCTCATGCTTTTTGGAATCACATAGAGTAGTCTCTCCTTTCCATCCACTACTACGGTTTTCCAAACAGTCTATTCTTCTTAAAACACGTAATTCATAATTATTTTTTTTCTCCTCAGCAGTTCGTTCCTCTTGTTTCTTCTTGAAAATTTCGATAATTCTTTTCAGGTCTTGTCAGCATGTTGTATCATTAGTATTTGCTCTTCTTCGGGTTAGGGACTGGCAAACTTCAAAATTTTCAGCTATTCTCGTCATCGTGTATCATCAGCTTCTGATACAGGACCTCTGCTCAAAGCATCAGTATGTGATAGTCTTTTTCCTGACCTATGCTTTATCTCAAAATCGTTTTCTTGAATCAAACTACACCAACGGGCTATTTGAGGATTTGTAGTCTTCTTCGCATTCATATATATTAGAGCTTGACAGTCAGTAATAATTGTAAATCTTATGCCGATTAAGAACTGTCTTAACCTGTCCAACGTCCATACGATGGCCATTAACTCCAATTTGCTGGAATGATATTTTATCTCTGCTTCTGTTGTTTTCTTACTGACACAATAAACAAGATGCCATTTTCGAACTTCATCACGTTGCATTAGCATTCCACTCAAACCTTCTGCACTTGCATCACAATGGACTTCAGTATCTGCATGCGGTTGATAGTGAGCTAATATGGGCTTATCAGTCAGTTGTTTCTTCAATAGTTCGAACGACTTCTTTTGTTCTTGCTTCCACTCGAAGTCTCGATTCTTCTTTGTCAATCTGGTCAATGGTTCGCTCTTTAACGCATACTTCGGCACAAATCGTCTGAAAAATCCAGTCAGGCCCAAAAATCTTCGCACTTCGTGCACATTCTTTGGTTCCGGAAATTCTGTTATGGCTTTTATTTTTCTAGCTCCCATCTAATACCGTTTATAATAAAACCCAAGAAATCCACTTCTCTTTTCCCAAATTCACATTTAGATAATTTCAAGGTTAAATTTGCTTTTCATAGCCATTCTAATACCTCTTTAAATTTGAAAATCATCTCCCCAAGATTTTGCAGGAATAAGTATATCATCCATATAACACAACACCTTAGTATTCAACAAGGAGCCTAGGACATATGACATAAGGCGCTGAAATTTAGGAGCATTTACTAACCCAAATGTCATCCTTTCGAACTGTCCTGTTTCATCTGGAGTAATGAATGCCATCTTCAATTTAGCTTCTTCTCTTAAGGGTGTTTGCAAATAGCCATGGGCTAAATCCAGAGTAGTGAAAATTTTACATCCTCCTAAACATTCTAAAAGATCATCTATTCGTGGCAAAGGGAACTTATCCTTTATCGTCTGAGTATTAAGTCTGCGGTAATCAATTACTAGTCTGTATTCCCTTGTTTTTTTCTTTACTAATAACACTGGACTAGCGTAAGGCGATCTAGTTTCGGAAACTATCCCATTATCTTTCCATTCCTTAACAATTTCTTTTATTGCATTACGTTCAGCTGCATTCGTTTTGTATGGGCGAGAAGACACAGGCCTACTCCCGTCAATTTCTTTGATGTCCATTTTTATTAAGTTCGTGCAACCTAATTCACTTAAATTAAGAGCAAAGCAATCCCTAAATTCATTTACTAATTTTAAGATATCAGTTCTTTCACTATATGTAGTTACCTCATCAAATTTTATATCATCTATCTTTATTTGGTGAATATTTTGAGAAATGGAAAATACATGGTTTTGTTCTTCATCTTTGTTTATATTGGGCTTGTCTATTTCCTTTAATTCCCAATCTTCTGTTATATCTATTACCCTGCTGATACACTGATTTTCTTTTAATCTGATGTTATTGTGTCCTATGTTCATAACTGGGACTGTTACCCTACCATTTGTAACCTCCATTACTGAATCCGGACTTCCATGCTTGCTTTGAAATAAAATCAGTCCATTATTTATATCTGGGGCTACAGAATGCACAAAGTTTATCGTGTTACTTTTTATTTCTATTGGTTTCTCAGAATATAACTTAATGTGTTTACGCTTGTTTCGTTTATCAATTGCATGAATGGAATTTTATTAGCATACCATATATTAAACGAATCCCCTATTTTCCCATAAGCCAACATCTGATCTTTCAAAATATCTCTCTCAATAATTAGGTCATACGGCTGTACTTCATCATTTACGATAAACAAATTCGCAGTTGTTTGGATTTCGCCGATTCGAAGTGAAACATGAACTTTTCCCAAGGTCGGTGTGGATGCGTGATTTACGCTCCCGATTCCAAACAATTTTTTTGTTTCTGGTTGCACTGGTAATCATAATTTTGAAAAGACCGTAAATCTTAATAGACTGACAGCGCTTCCAGTATCAATCAAACATTCGATAGGTTTACTTTCGTTAATTATTGCTTTCTTCAAATACTTTGAAACGTCAGATAATCCATCATGATTCGTCGCGACACTATTTTGATCTTTCATTTTGTCATTCTTCATTTCTTCGTGACTCTCTGTCTCACTCGGAAGACATTTGGCGTCACAACTTAAGCTAGAATGTTTACGCTTACATGTCGTGCAGTGCTCTTTTGATTTACATAAGCGGACCACGTGAAATTTCTGGAAACATAGAAAACATCTCGCGTTCTGTTTTAAACTTTCTAATTTCTGTTCGCGTTCCTTATCACAATTTTCAGAACTGTGCTCAGAATTATTGCAAAAAATGCAAATTTTCTGAAATGTGCTCAGTGCGGTTGCGTTAGGAATTGAATCTTGCTGCTTCCCTTTAAACTTCTGAAATCTATTCCCCTTTTCCGAAAATTTAGTAACTGACAGTTTATAGTCTACGCTTTTAAGTGATTCATTATTTTCCCTTGTTTGATGAAACAAAAATGTTCGTTCTCGCGTTTCTGTTTCTCTTCTAAGAAATTTTAATAATTCTGTTACATTCCAAGAATCGTCTATTTTATGCTATCTATAAAAATCTAGCACAATGGAATCTGGAATAAGTTTGGTTAGTAGTGGAAACAACAAACTTCCATATGAATTCAGTTCGACACCAAGAGTTTGTAAACCCCGTACTTGGATTTCTATCGTATCGTATAACTCCCTTAACTGTTTCAAATACGAAGCTGATTTTACTGCACTTAAATTTAACAAATGGTTAATATGAGATCTTACAATAATTTCTTTTTTCCCGTATCTTTCTTTAAGCAATTCAACTGCTAAATCATAATTATTTTCCGATACCAATAGTCCTTGAATACTAATTAAGGCTGGTCCTTTCAAGAAAGCTTTAAGATAATTATATTTATCTACTTTAGATAAGCATTCCTTACTGTGAATTGCATTATCGAACTGTGACCAAAATTCCTGAAACTTCTCTAAATTACCCTCAAACGGTTCTACATGAAGTTTTTTCAAATTTATTCTGGGTTTGTCTGGTTCACTATTCGAAATAAGTGAAGAATTATTCTTCAACAAAAAATCTCCCTTATTTCTATCTGAATTCTGAAGATAATTCTTAACTTTCGATTTCGCATAGATGATACGTTCTCTGTATTCCTGATTATTCTCGACTTCTGTTTCTAGATCAGATACTTCAGGAATTAAATTCTCAATTTCTAGATCTAACTTAAATATCTGATCTGCTTTTCTTGTAAATTCATATCACATTCTTCTAATGATTTTGTATCTACAATATCCTGTTCTAATAATTCACATATTCTGTTAATTACTTGTGTTGTTAACCTTCTTAACGTTTTACGTTTTGTTTTTGTTTTATCTAAAGCTTTCTGTGTATTCTCATCCATAATATTACCTAATAATATAATTCTATACTTCTAAATTCTGTTAGAATTATTCTACAGTTCGCATGCATTCAAATCTTTAAAAACGAAACTTACCCCTTCTTCGATGTTCTTGGTACATGAGTCATTCAATGCCTGCTTGCATCAATCCATCCCACTTCTGAAATGTTAGCTTTAATCTCTGTTATCAATCTCGGGACAGCTAGGGGTAAGTCGGGCTTTCACTTTTCATTCAATTGGGATAACTCTTTCATTTTATAAATGCTTTATTGTTACAACACTTATATACATATCATTACAGAACATTCTTAACATTAATCCTTTTATCTCGCTTCCCGATTCTCGATTGATATCGTGCGCCCCCCTATCGGCGGCTTTTCTACAATGCCATCTATTGGCTGATAACACATCTTACTTCGGAATGTTACAGAAGCATTTTATGTACACAGCCTATCTCTTGGCATAAAATCGTAAATATTCTCGAATTTAAAACATGGCTTTTAATAAAATTAACAAATTTCACAACTTACTTCAAAACAATTTTCGGGTTTTCTGGGATTGTTTTGGCTACTAAAACTTTCCGAAGAACAGCGCAGTGAGTAAATTTAGTTTCAGGAGCGATTTTTCTTTATTTGAGAAGTAACACCGGATTGTTTTCCTGTTAAAGCCTAAGCTCTGTCACTGCATATGGTAAATACATTTATTCCAAAGAATGTCATTCTCAGACATAAAATTTTCAGTTACTTTGAAAATTTCTTTTGCCGTTGCCTATCAATGAAGAGATTCACAAAGTAAATACTCTTGGGCAATTCGTTAATTTTCAAAACATGTGTAAACTAATAATCGAACAAAATATGTTTTATATCAGTAATTTCATCCGATTGTAATGCAGAATACTCAGTATGTTTTATTTTTTGAATAAATGTCTCTTTAATGGAATTTGCCATTTCATGAATTCATCAACTTAATGTATCGTTTAATAATGGAATACGGTCAAAAGTCGTTAATCCGGACTCGTCGGGACTTCGGCGATTCCAGATTATCGATTTTTCTGGATTATAGATCATCAATTTAAATCTGGTAAAATGGCATGCAGAAATTATAAAATTAAAAATATGAAACCGTAATTTACGAAATAAAGAACAATTATGATCTAAAGGGTATCAAAATTTACAAAAAAAAAAGCTTAATATTTATTTGTTTACTGTATTAAACATTTCTTTCAGTGTAAGTTGTTTAAGTTGCTTCGTTTCTTATGTGATAATACATTCTCTTTAATTCTATAAACAGACATAATTTCTTGTTCAGTTACAAAGTTCCGCTGTTCAAGTCCTATAATTGCTGTGTCGAGAATACCGACTAATTTGTTAATTGAAATTTTTTCATTTTCAATAACCTCTGTCACTTTCTTCGCTATCGGAAGCGAATTATAATGACGAGGCATTTGATTTAAATCATATCAAAGAGGGAGTACATCGAGATGAAATACTACATTGAGTAAGCAATTATAAGCCAAATAAAATAAAAACATCTGCCCTTAAGATAAGGATAGTGCTGACAGATCAACTTCCAATTCATTGCACGCCGCCGCGGCGTTAAAGATAAACAAAGTTTAGATAAACAAACGTTAAAGTTTAGATAAACAAAGGATATGCCTTTATCCAATTTTTGCTGCAATTCCACTTTTTGTTTAATGGACTAAAGATACTTTCGTATATGTAAAGGATATACAAACTTTCGCTTTGTATATCCTTTACATATTAGTAAATATATATCGGAAATTCTATTTGACATAATCGAAAGTTCAAGCTTACTTTTATAAAATTGCTCTAAAAGTCTGCAAAAAATAATAATCCGGATCCAATTCGAAGATTAAGGAGCAACGCAATCTGCAACATTAACTGAAATAGATAATTAGATAATTTTAGCTTAGCTTATCCCGTCCGTTTTACATTAAACGCACATTCATAAACGTATTTTGCGCACGCGCACACGCAAATTCGCAGCGGTAAAGGTTTTACGCGCATGTAAACCTTTTGCGCATGTAAACCGTAAAACCTTTTGCGCAGAAAGTTTGTAGCTTTGAGGTCCGGATTATAGATCATTCCGTATTATAGGTGTTCGAATTAACGACTTTTGACTGTATTATTAAGCTCATTATCTGGTTTTTCATTGAATAATTTTAAAATGATATCTTTAGCTACTGGTAATATAAGGTTTTCTCCTATAGTTTGAGCTTGGCCAGTCTTGGCAACTCTTAGGCTTATACTTATTATAACTCTTAGGCTTACTTATTATATAACTAGCTTCCAAAGCTTTTTCACTTGAAGCAAAATAACTTTTCAATCCTTGTTTGTTATTTTTGAACTCCAATAATTTCCTCTTAAATATGCTTCAGATTTATCCTTTAAATTGGCACCCTTAGATTCAAGATGTCTCTTCAGTAACGATGATTTCATACTTTGATTGTGTAATAGTTCACCACAAACAACACATTGAGGTGAGAGTCCGTTTCATCTCCATTCCAAGTAAATAAATTTAATTATATTTTCTATAAACAATTTTTCTTTTATTCAAATTTTCTTAGCACTAATAAATTGTCCTAGATCCATCACCTGTGAATCATCACTTTTCTGTTTAATAAATCATAGCTATTTTTCTATTCTTGTTTCATTATTTTTTTCACAAATGTTTTAATGCACAATACATTGCGATTTCTTTAAAAACAAATGACGATATTCTCAAATCGCTTAGAAAAGGAAGGAGTACCAAGTAACAAGACAAAATACCTGCTTTTAAAGACAGCAATTTGATGTAAAAAAATGATTCTAATTGAAAATAGAGCAATATGAGCCTGGAATTGGGAGCAATATAAGGTGTAGATATGCTAATAAATCGATCAACTGTTGAATTGATGAGATACTGTTAACTTTCATAAGAACTTATTTTTATTTCCTATTAATTACAACATCCATTTCTAATCCCCTTTTTAAAAACATCATATATGACAAATTTTGTTGTGTCTATGGGTAAAAGAATATTTGTGAAAATAGAAACTAATTATTTCGCTAAAGTGTATGAGCAGCTATAAATGTTAAACAAAGCTCAGATCGCATAAATTTATGAGTGTTGGAGAAAAAATTTAAACAGGATGTTGGGGTATTTATTTTTTGAATTTAATAGTTAAAAATAGTTTGTTTCTTTGCATCCCACCTATTTTTCTCTTGCATATCACCGGTTTAGAATCACTGATATAAACTATTTGTTTTATTGTGGCATCTTGTACATAAGATTATGGGTTTTTAGTCTGTCATAGTGGGTTGTTTCATTTGTATTTTCATGGTGGCTCATTATTCACTTAAGCAGTAAAGCTCATAAGCTGTAAATCAGTTTAATTTTCTGTCACTTTAAGAATTTTCTTGTGACTCCAACTGCAAGATTTTTTCCCCTTCTTCCATAGATAAACAAGATGAAACAAACAAGATCTTGAGATAAACAAGAGTGATTGAAAAATCCTTGACACATTTAAAGAACTGTGATAGATGCTTCAAAATAATAGTAAAAACAAATTTGAAATACTCCTTTACTTCCTCCTGCCCCAATTTGACCTGCCTATTTGAGCAAACTTGCTATCACAAGCTCTTTTTGGATATGATAAAAAGTTTTAGTGGCCCATAGATTTCTCATTTGTATGCAGTATTGGTAACAAAGATGAAGCACCACTCCATAATTAATGCTTTAAAGTTGTATGCAAACAGAATTTAGTATTAAAGAAAAGTATTAACGAAACAATAGTAGCATGTAGTAATAACGAAACAGTAAGCTTTCCCATTCTGTAAACATTGCAGTTTATTACCATTGAGTACTAATTGAGTGAAAATAATGAACTCCAGGCAGTTAAACCATTTTGCAGTCAAATTTGGCATTATCTTTGAGAGAATTTCAGCATTGATTAAAAATACTTGAGCAACAAAAGGATCACTTATTAAAAGTTGGTAATGATATAATAAAGATAATTTTGTAATTATTGTAATAGTATTTGCAAATTGTTTCCAGAATTTATATATCTAGTGATTAATTTTAACTGTATCTTGTATATTTTAACATGCATTAACTGTTGCTGCTAATTATAATTTTTCATTCAACTGGAGAAGGAAACTTTGGTGTTGTAGCATATCTCATACACTTGCAGATTTCTGTATTTATAAATTATTTGAACAATTGCCAAGACAGGTGATTTAAGTAAGGTAAGCGGAGAGAAATTACAATAATGCTGAACTTCAGATTTTACTTGTCTTTTAGATTTAAAAGTATTAATCATTATTAAAAACGATCTTTGATTAAACAAATACTCATCATTTAGACATAGATTGTTTTATTTTCAATTGAAAATTCAGTTGTTAATGGTTATCTTTACTTAGGCACCCATTGTCAGCAGTGTATGGCTGGATACCATGGAGACCCAGTTAATGGAGGAAACTGTACACCATGCTTTTGTAACAACCATGGTGATCTCTGTCATCGAGAAACTGGACGTTGTTACTGCACTACTAAAGGTATTAATGGGCCACACTGTAACAGGTAAGTGTGAAGTGTAAATGAATGAACTTGCAACATTTCTTAATTGTTTTAAATGTTCATCTTCATATTTGCAAGTGAATTTTTTTGTATGAAAACATTAAGCTATAAAAATGTCCCAAGCTTACCATTCAGGTTTCGACATATATTCTATGTAATATTGTAAATACAAGAATAATAGTAGCTGCTGCATCTGTATTTAGTCATTTGCTATGGTTATTTCGATTTTTTAAGGAAATTTAATAAGAATTATAAAATATTTCAGATAAATTTCCCTTGAGTAAAGAACTAAATTTTGAGTAGCAAATGTCTAAGAATGCTTATTTTAGGAAAACTATGTCTTTTATAAACACTACCCCCAAAATTTGATTAACTATAAATCCTGAATAAAAAAAGTTCATGCATTTTGCAATGTGTCATTTAGAGAGCACAAATACTTTGTTAGTTGAGGCATTATTCGTTGAAATAACAGGCCTGCTTTTTGCACATCTCATACTGAAATGTTTCAGAAATGATGGATTTTTAAAAATTTTTACAATTACCACATATTTTTCTGTTTTCTACGAAGCCATTTTCTAAATAAGATTTCATAAACATTATAGCATCATCTTAGCATAATTTTTCCATCTTTGCTAATATTTGTGCATTAGTAATGTAGAACTCCAGGTGTCTACACCTAGCAGGTTATAGAAGCACTTAGCAGTTGTAGAAGATGTGAAAGATCAACAGACCCTCTGGGTTACACTACCACATCATCCCATTGTGAAGGAAGATAGTACTATCAGAACAAGACTGATTTTTGAAACTTTTCCAAACTGAGAAGGTCACCGTGTCTCAATAACTCCTTAGAGAAGGGAGAAAAATCTTTCAGGTTAATAATTCCAAACATTATAATTAGTTTCTGTACAAAAGAATTAGGTGTTACTGCAAGTAAACGAAAGGCTTTTCTCCTGCCTTGCCTATCATCTGAGATTTTTTACATTTCTTTTATAGCTTGAAAACAGTGTTAAGTTCAAACGGTACTAACATAGTCAAGTTTGGAGTGTCTTTTAAGTCTTTTCTATTTGGGTTCTGTGATATAACTTCATCTGCAAGTTGTTATAGAAGGCATATTCACTCTGGAAAGAAGTCATACAAAAGCCAAACAGAAGTTTCGTTTCTCTGTTGACAGTTTATTTCCAACATCATATATCTTGTATAACAGCCTACAGATGATGCTGTACCACTGAACTTAGAAAGGAAAGGACTTTAAGACATTACTAACACAGCTCGACAATGTTAGTACCATTTCAGCTCACTATTGGTGATAAGGCACTTATCTGTAAGAAAGCCTTTGGTATATCTGTTATAACACCTATTTTCTTTGTATGGAAATGAATTAAAATTTTTGCAATTAACTAGATAAGATTCTCTTCCTTCACTAAACAGTCATTGAAGCTTGGTGACCATTTAAGTTTGGCAGAAGCATCGAAGACTGGTCTTTTTCTAGTAGTACTATTTTCTTCATAATGGGACAATGTGGTAAGTAGTGTACTACAAGGGTACGTTAATATGTCACATCTTCTATAACTTGCCCTTTCAGCCAATCAGGGAAAAAAAAAATCACATTTTTTATATGATTGGGAGAGACGTTGTGCAGTAATACTTAATCTTTTTAGTGCTAATTGTAATTATCAGAAAGTGGAGGATGATTTTCTATCAAGGGTAAGTGCACAACATAACAATTATTTTCCACCAGTTGAGTCCTGAGGTTACAAATTTGTTATTGACTCTTTAACTGATAACAAGGAATGATAATAAACATGCTTTTTTGTCTTCTGAAGAATTCAGTATACACCCTGTCACTGCCCATCCAAGATGCATCTTAGTGGCAGTGAAAGTACAAGGTAACATTTTAAGACCACCAGTCATTAGCTCTCCAGCTGCATCAGTTCCAATTAAAATTTCAATCAGGCTCTGATCGGTATCAGCAATGTATTACTGTGTGATAGTTCTTTTGCACAAAGCTCCGGAACTATAGATGGAATCTTGCAGATAATTTCTTGGCTTAATACTTTGAAGTTCCATCCGTACTCGATGAATATAATGTAATTTATGGTGTCGGTGTAAACACATGTAATCAGAAGAAACATTTCATTTGTAAAATTTGCAAGCTTCTATTTGAAGATGATCGCAGATGAGAATCATTTACGTCTTCTCAGACAAATATATAATATTTCTCAAAACTTTAATAAAATCTTATTATTCAACAAGCAAGTCTCCATTATTTTTCTAGTATGCTTTCTCTATGGTACATCTAAAAAATTACTATAAAAAATTCTCTTGTTCTTGTTAAACATTAGTCACACAACTATTGTGGTCTAGAGGGCCATCTATTTATTACAGTGTTTCCCAACCTTTTTTTCCTCGCGAACCAAAAGAAAGGTACGGAAAAATTTGATGAAACCCTATGTAGTCGTTAATGATAGGTAAAAAAAAAAAAAAAGCAATAAAATTTGATAGAATATATATTTTTCATATTGCAGAATAATTGATTATATTTATCGTGAAACATTTAAATAAAACATTAATAAGACTAAAATGATGGCTATAAAAGTTGAATACAAGATAAATTTAACAAACTGGTTCTTATGTTTTACATTTGGAAAAACTCTTAATGGGATATTTGTGGCTGTTTGATAGAACAAAGCAATTCAAAGTTAGGCTCAATATCTGACAATTTCAGTCTTAGATCAGGTTCTGCATTTAACCTGTTTCTGTATTTATCTTTCAGATAAGTATATGTTGAAAATCCTTTCTCGCATACATATGTTGTGCAAAATGGTAATAGAACTTCAATGGCTTTTTTTGACAGAACAGGATATTCATTTTTTATACTGAGCCAGAAGTCAATTAAAGATTGATCTTTAAAAATTGCTTCTAGAGAACTGTCACAAGATAACTCTATGAGTTTTTCTTTTTCCAGTATATTTAGAGAGGTTTCTGAACTTACATTTCCTTGAAATGGATTACATATCCAGTTGTTTGAGATGGATATATTGCATCTGTTGGGAAAATAGTCACCGAAAGTTAATCGAAGATAGTTCAGATGTTCACATATACTTCTTTTAATGTTTTCTAAAGTTTAATTAAATTTTCTGATAAAAAAGTTCTGACAGAATCAAAACATCCATACTCATTCATCTGCAGGCATTAAATCCAAAAATTGATCTTTTTCAACATAGCCTCAGTAGTACATATCATGTACACTGAAAATGGTGACACCCCTCGCCTTGTAAAGACATACTTAATTCATTCTGTTTACAAAAACTGTCAGCTAAATACGCAAGCTTTTGCAGCCAAAGAACATCGGATTTACAAGAAGACAATTGAAACGGATGATCAATAAAAAATGCTCGAATTTCAGACTTCAAGTCAAACAAATGCATCAAAACTTTATCACGGGAAAGCCATCTAACTTTTGTGTGAAGTAGTAAAGAAACGTGGAAACTTCTAAAATCCTCACAAAGCATACGGAATAGATGGCAATTTGTAGCACGTGATTTTATAAAGTTCACAATTTTCACAGCTTGTCTATGAATACAACAATCAGTCCATTGAATTTTCTCGTTGATCTTCTTCACCCGTGCCACAAAACCAGAAAATTTACCTGTCGTTGATTTTACACCATCTTTACACACACATAAGACCAGCTTATTCCATTCTTTTCAAAATACCCATTGATCGTATCGAAAATCGCTTCTCCAGTTGTGTAGGTTTTCAAAGGTTTTGCAAGTAGTACATCTTCTTGAACAATATTCGTAAATAGATATCTAACATAGACAAGCAATACATTTGTTACATCCGTCGATTCGTCAAGTTGAATTGCAAAATAATTCAATTTTATTCTTTTTAGAAGTTCGTTCTCCACATAATTAGCCAAGTTATTAACTCTACGTTACACCATGTTGTTTGATAAGGGAACTAGCTCAATTTTCTTTGCTGCATTTTCCCCAAGCATACATTTGGCGTTATCTTTTGCACATGGTCCAATTAAATTTTCTGCTATTGTATGTGTTTGTCTAGATCTTGCAATTCTATAGCTTACTCGAAATGATGCTTCAAGGGCCATTTTACTATCTTCGTTTGAAGTCAAGAAAGAAGAAAGGCTACACTTTTTTTATATTTTCTTTTGAAATATTCAAGAGGTTTATCTTTGTGTGTCGAATGTTGTGTTTCAATGTGTCTAGGAAGAAGTGAGGGTTTTAAACTGCTGTTGACAAGAACTTCGTTACATATAACACAAAGCGGTTTAGGTTCTGACTCATCCCCAGTAAAATGAAAAACCAATTGTAGATAGTCGTTGTCATATTTTCGCTTTTTCCTTTTTCTATCATCAATCATTTCCTTTGTTTTTGGTCTGGTGAAACGGTACCTCACTACAGCTTTCAGTACTATCATCTTGATTATCATGTCTCATTTCTAAATGACCCATTTTTAACCATTGATCCATAATAAAAATAAGCTATAATAATAATTAAATTAATAATTATTAAATCATTTACATGAGAACTTGACAGTCACAGTATCACTATCACTTAAGCTGTACTAGTGCTAAGCCTATGTATGAACGTTGAAAGACAGACAAACAGACAGACAAAATAGACAGTTAATGCAACGCTACTCTCCCAGTTCCCGGTTGTGAACAAGTATCTAATACTAAAATCTGTAGTAAACAGCCTTAATTTGATATTTATTTCCAATTGTAAAAAAAAAAAAAGTACATAGAAGGAAAAACTGCTGCAATGATTTTAAATATAAAGCAGAACATGATTCTAATCACATTGTTAAAATGTTTTAAATATAAATAAATGTTTGTAATAGAAAGAGAATAGTATCTGATTACTTGAATAAGAGGAATAAATTATAATGTATAAAATTGTTGCTATAATTTGATATTGATGAAGTAATTTTGAAAAACAAATAAGGAAAAAAAATGAAAATATTGAAATTTATTATAGATT